TTGAATGTGTAGATTTTTTTTGTTTTGTTTTTTGCAGTTGCATTGTTTTAATGGGATGATTGGTTTTTCTTTGTTTGTAGTGGAGGGAGTGGGCGGGGCGGGATCTCTATAGTTGTGCATGTTTTGTGATTGAGGGAGGAGTGTATTTGTGTGTGAGATGTACTGGGTGGATGGGGGTAATGTGGGCATGTTCAGTGTGGTGGAACACAATGTTAGAGAGGAAAGGTGATGATAAAGAACAACATGAAGAAATATATGTTCTTTTAATAACTTTTAAACTCATTTAAGGACTCAGTTGGTCAACCTCTTTGTTTCTTAACTGAAAAGCAGTCCACATATTTCATCACATCTGATTTGATACTGTGGCTGACGTTGAGTCCTTTTCATCGCAGACACCTGATATTTTATAACTGCAGTTCCTGACTTTTTAACATTGGGTTGTGTTTCACCACACTAAACACGGTTCTCAGTTTAAGTTTATCTTTAAGCTAAATCAGACACTGGGCTAGGAGAGGAACTAAAGGGATCATTCTGATCTTTTGGCGAGGAATTGTGTGGGGTACTTATCATTGGTCAGTGTATTACATACAGTTTGGAGAAGCAGGCTTGGAGTACCAACGCAGAAGTACTGCTGTGGATGGGAGGGCAAAATGTATTTTAGCCACCTAAAGAAATCAATATCAGTTTAAGTGTATACTATATTAACAGTATTTTTTACTTTTTAACACTTCTGTCAGGCACCCCTTTCCAATAGGGAAGCTGTCAACGGCTTCAGTTCCCCATCTATGCGTTCGTCAAAGCCAGACTCCATTGAGAAAAACAGTCATTTTAGCTCACTGAACACAGGAGCTGCTGGTGTACCGCTGCCTCGATCTGTTAGTTAGTTTCTGTTGATGTGTGACTTTGGTTAATCCGAGCTAACCCTTTTAAATATCAAAGTCACACAGTAACATGAAAAGACTAAATGTTCGAGGCAGAGGTAGACCAGCAGCTCCTGTGTTCAGCGATGTTAAATCACTGTTTTTCTTAATGGAGTCTGGCTTTGAAGGGAGCGATAAAACGACCTCAGTTACCGTCTCAAATCACCGTCTGACAGCAAGGTAAAGCACTGAAAATACTCTGAATGTAGCATACACTTAAACTGTCATTGATTTTTTTCTTTTTTAAGATGTGACTTCTCTTAGGTGTCTACAATATGTTGTGTTGCTCACTCTGTCCACAGCAGCACATTGCTAGGCTCCTGTGTCAGTACTCCAGCTTCTCCAAACTGGAGGCATGCCAGTGGACATCTACTGTATATAACACATGACTTGTACCTCATACAACCCCACTTGAAAAGATCTGAACTATCCCTTTAAGGGAGGGATGGAAGGAGAAACATTTATTTTTCTGAATGTAATTTTTCATTATCACACTGATTCCACTGCATGGACTGAATACAAGCAGCACTGCAGCATCACAGTCTCTCCTCATCAGTCATTTAATGGCAAAACCAGCTCTCTTGGCTCCCTTCGTTTTGGAAAACAAATTTACTTGATCATTATTCTGGTTGTTGAATATAATCTTAAGACTCTTCTTAGCTTTCTGAAGGAGACTTTGGTAATTGGGTGAATAATTTGACCCTGAGTTGTTGCTTTGATTTCACGATATGTTAAGTAAAGAGGATTTTACAAAGCATATTGTCTCCTGAACCTGTCAGTTATTCTCAGTGGGGTCGATGTGACCACGAGGACCCCAGCAGGGAAGCGAGACTTTTGGAAGCGGCTAAAAAACAGCAAAAAGACGGACATGACATTCCTCATGTGGGCTTTTTAGGACGGAAATGAACCCTCGTGCTCTTTGCCACCTCCTTCTGTCGTCTCTGGTCACTCCTTCGATACAGATGTATGATGGCAGTGATCAAGTCCACACTTTTTTTTATTTATTCCAGTGCTTTTCGGCTCTTCTGAAAAATAATGCTGTATTTTGAAGACATACTAAGGTAATGTATGATCCACTCACCTTCACCTTTGACCTTTGAGAGGACTAAAGGACGGGAGGTTCATGAGACACCCGGGGTTTTCACCATCCCTTCTTCCTGTACTAATTTCCTAGTATGCTATTGTGATGTTACAGACCATACAGTGAACATAAACGTCAATAAAAGATGGATTTAAGTTTAAAACGCTTTAAACTGCAAGGCTTCTTTTATTTCAGCGCCAACTTCAAGTGTCAGCTTTGTGTCTTTTTGTAAGCTTTCACCGTTCAGTAGCCGACAACACAGCAGAAAGTTTGTACATTTGTTTTGGTGTTATCCTGTGTGCTCTGTACATCGCTCTGTGCCAGTGCACACGAAACGGCTTTGTGAAGAAGGAAAAGTCACCGTGTAGTGTAGAAAAGAATGTAGAAGTCTTTTGGCACGGCCTGGTGTCCTCTAAAGTTTTAACATGACTTGGAATATGGAACAAACGATTGCAACTAATTATTATTTTGCAGCATTTGTACATTTAGCTTTTATAATTCTGCGTCTTAAATAGGTCATATCTAACTGGCAATCCTCTTTCTCCCCCTGCAATTGAGTTAGAGATATTGTTTTTGATTGATTTATTTAGGCCAAATCTGACCAGTGCTGTGCTAAATATCATGCATGCTACATGACAAGAGTATGGGGACTGATTTGCATTGCTACTGTGTTAAAATGTTTCTTAAAACTACACCAGTTTACCTTCATTATTGCTACAGTTATTTTATTTTGTACACCACAATAATATATAAATATCTTTATTATCTGTTGTTTTATTGCAGATAACACAATGTAGGTGTAATATTTTGGTCCTTGAAATATCTTTTTCACATCCTGGACGCAAATATTGTTGCAGATTTTCATACAGCAAATGTCCCAACTAGAGACTGAGAATAATGTTTGTTCATGCACTATAGTTCAGTACAGGTTTGAGGTACACAGGAAGGCAATCCAGGCAGTGAGGAGGGAAAAATTAAAAAGCCTTTACTGTAGTGGCTAAATCATTAAGAGGCAACATGTCTCGAACACTGTAGGTTGTTCTCAGCGCTTTGAGTATAGAAAATACTTTGTAATATTAAATGTTTATCTTTAAAGGTTCAGATTGTAGGATTTAGGGAAGGCATGTCCAAGCTTGTTGTTCAAAGTATAATATGGTCAATCAGGCAAGATCACTTTGCATTTTTTCCATTCACCTCACAATGGCAATGGCATCATACAGTTCGTAGACATTCACCAAGTAGGAACTACGCAGGAGGAACTGATGTGTTTTCGTACAGCAATCCAATGGTTTCCTAACAGGTGGCAGACAGGACAACAGAAAGCCCAAAGGAGTGTTAAGTTTACAGCAAGGGCTGCTGCTTTCAGGAGCGCTGGATGTAAGATGTGAGAAGCAGCTGGCCCACAGCTATTTTTAACATTCTTAAATCTGTCCTCCATTCAAAAATGTTTGGACACCCCTGATTTAGGGGGATATATTGGCAGAATCATAATGAGTATGTTGACTTGTGTCATTGTTACCTCAGAACAAAGGAATACTTTGCATCTCTATTTCCAAACAGGTTTGTAGGAGACGGACAACCAGAACACAACATGTAGAAAAAAACTCCTGCACACTGTCTTAACAAAAATAATGATTTTAATGCTGCAACATTTCGGTGACTAGACCTTCTTCAGGCAGACACCTTTGCCTGGTGTGCGGGAGATTTTTCTACAAGTTGTTACTTTAGAATGAGCCCTTTATATCTGAACAGGGAGCAGGTCCTTGTCCACAGAGTCAGCCATATTTGTACAGTCGCTCAGCACAGATCAGATACATCCGTGTTGTCACGTCAGCTACAGAGAGCTTCTGGAAAAAGACTGAGTTTTTAAATGTGAGACTGCTTTATTTAGTGTTTCTACTGGTTTAAATCACTGTTTTTTGGAGAGGAACCTCTGCAGGTAAAAACCTGAACATCTGGATCTTAGTTTATCAAACTGAGAAAAAAGATGAGCACACATGAGCAGGTGCTAAGCTAGTGGCCTGTATGCAACAAGCTCAACCGTACTGGAGAAGCACTAATTTGTAATGTGAAAACGCCTTTTCATTTTCTTTGTAGCAATTGTAATCACCCGGGGTCTCATTTATAAACATTGTGTACACACAAAACGAGGCCTGAAAGAGGTGTACGCCACTTCCCATGCAAAAGCTGTAATAAGAACAGACTTAGTGAGGGGAACTCTGACCCATGCTTACGAACATTTCGGAGAAAGGAAATTGGTGATGCACATGGTGAGGTAGAAGCCTGATTGTAGACATTGTTGAATATTTTTGGGTACATGCCATTTTTGGCTTTTCTCCTTGTTTGTTTTGGAGAGGACGAGACCTCTGTGGATAATTCATCTAAAACCTCCTGAATAATGAAAACTGAAGGAATCCTAACCAGACATTCATGATTGACACATTGAAGAAGCTGGTTGCAATCTGCAGTCCTCACCACTAGATGCAATTAAATCCTGCACACTGCTCCTTTAATGATATGACAACTATTAGTTGAACTGTTGATAAAGACATTTATGAGAAATACCCACTTACCCTTTAGCCTACTACTGATACTGAAGTATATTTTGGTGATGTAACCTAATGTGCTATGGCTCAAGCAATATTTTAATCAAATTACTTTTGTACTAGAGTATTTTCAAAAAGTGGTCATGCTACTTTTATCAAAGTTTTATTGGAGTATGTTCAGGGCAGGAGTAATTCTGCCACAACAAGCCGCAGCCAACACTGGAGTTAATCTGCAACCATTCACATCCAACTCTCCAGTTTCCCACATTCCTCAGGTGGCACTGTGTGTGTGTGTGTGTGTGTGTGTGTGTGTGTGTGTGTGTGTGTGTGTACTCTGACCCCACAGGAGCAGTTAGATTAGTTAATGTTGGCTCCTCACAGTCAGTCGGTCTCTCTGAGGAAGAGGAGCGGTTGTTTTCAGGTTTTCCTCTTCAATATAGAAACTTATTTGAGATGAGTGTTAAGGAGGACACCGGGAGCATGGAGCTGGGGGAGTGCACCAGGAACCCGAGGTTTCAGGATGTAGACGGCGTTGTGACACTGGCGGACACCATCTACGCAGACCCCGGTGAGAAGCGCGACTCCACCGCGCTGAAGGTGGACCCGGACGCGGCTGAGGAGGAGTACACGCAGATCAAGCCGTACGCCGGGATGCCCAAGGAGGTGCTGCTGCTGTACTCCTCCCAGGCCAAGTACCGGGTGCCCCGAGAGATCCTGTTCTGGCTGACGGTGGCCTGCACCCTGGCGTTGGTGGCGGTCACCGTCACGGTGATCGTGCTGTCGCCGCGGTGCCTCAACTGGTGGCAGGTCTCCCCGGTGTACCAGGTCTACCCCCGGTCCTTTAGGGACTCCGATGGAGACGGGGTCGGAGACCTCAAAGGTGAGATGACCCTGACCCTGCTGCATTGTTCTGATGATGGAGGTCATGATCTTTCATTAAACCTCCTTTACAAAACTCAGTGTTTCTTTCTTTTAACTCACCCTTTATGGAGGGTTCATAACCTGTAATTAACAGCTGTATTCAAGTCATTTAGTAATGCTTAACACATTAATTATAATTATGTAACAGGAATAACTTTTAGTTGCCCATTTGAGAGAAATCTTCCTCCAACAGGACACTGTATCCTCTAAATAGCTCTTAGGTTCATCAGGTACACTCTTTGGACCACTTCCCTTCCCTTAAAATCCATTTTAACAGTGTATTAGCCCATTCAAGGACAATTATGTTCCAAATACACACAAACAATATACTGTAATTTTTTTTTTACCTAAATACACTAATTAATTATTAGTTACAAAAACAGATTGATTAAGAAACTTTATTATGTGTTATTTTTTGATCAAATCTGATCATGAGAAACCACCTGTGATGACAATATACAGTCTTATCAGACCTTTTCTCAACAAAAAAACATGAGTTAATGTATTTTCCATGAATGGTTAACTCATATCAATGAATAAAGTGGTGCCTTAAAACACATTTTGAAGTGTATTTGTCATTACAACTCAAACTATCCTCAATTTGTGAAGTATCTCCAGAAAACAATATGTAGCTATAAAAATCAAATCAAATCTGTATTTCCCTAGGTGCCCAGTAGAGTGGGTGTCTCAGTGTCCTTGCTGCAGCAGTCATGGGTTTGGTTGCAGCCCATGACCTTTCGCTGGATGTCCCCCCCCCCCCCGTTTCACACTAAATACTCTGTCCTGTCAAATAAAGGCAAAAGCCAAAAAAAATAATCTGTATTTGCCTATTCATGTACTGGTAACACTCAGATTCCTTGGTCCATTCCATTGGTTGTTATTCTCAGATTTCTGTCATCCACATTATGATTTTTACTCGTATGATGTATAGCACCATATGATCTAAATACATGTTAACTCTGCTGTTGACAGCATCAGTATGAACACACGTTTTAAACTTATTTGACTCTGGCGTTATCACTGGGACTCCAGTATTCATCCCTGTGGTGCCTCTGGTCCGGCAGGAATTCAGCAGCAGCTCAATCACTTCCAGTACCTGAACATCAAGTCGGTGTGGATCAGTCCGTTCTACCGCTCTCCTATGAAGGACTTCGGCTATGACGTGGAAGATTTCCAGGCCATCGACCCACTCTTTGGAACCATGCACGACTTTGAGGAGCTCCTGGCTGAGATGCACAAAAAAGGTGTGTGCTGTCATGTCCCCTGATGGTGCATCACCACACCTTGGTTTAGTAGTAGAAGAGTATTTGAATGATACTAATGAATGATATTAATCTGTTTCTTTGTCCAAAAGGTTTGAAGTTGATCATGGATTTCATTCCCAATCACACCAGTGACCGACACCGCTGGTTCAACTTGAGCCGGACTAGAGATCCTCACTACGAGGATTACTACGTCTGGACTGACTGCAATGAAACCGACCCGAGGCCTAACAACTGGGTCAGTACTCATTTAGACTGACCCCTCACTTATGCACTGCACTATAGAGATAGCTGTGATGTATTGGAATTTACAAACGGATGATGTGGAGTTACAAAGATGGATAATTTCTTAAGGTCAACTAATCCTCTTCTCCTCTCAGGTGAGTGTGTTCGGGAACTCGTCATGGACCTATGATGACGTTAGAGGACAATGCTACCTGCACCAGTTCCTCAAGGAGCAACCAGACCTGAACTTCAGAAACCCTCGTGTCCGCAGAGAGATGACTGTAAGATTACATGACCACACACTGCTCTTGCTCACATGCCTCACACACATTATCTCCTCTATTGACTCACACCTAGAAACATTAGTCTTTGGTGACTCATATCTCATCCTAAAACCTCAGTCAGTGTCCTCATCTATTTTGTCTTCTCTCATGTCCCGCGACTGTTGAGGTGTCCACAATCCTGTGAGATTTGTAGCGATAATTTGCGATGGCTATCTGATTACACATTAACTTAGACAAGTTAATTCTTATGTGTTTCTGCTTCACACAGCTCAAAGTTCAAGAAAAGAAATGACAGACTCTGCATGAGTGAACAAATGACACTTTGGCACTAATGAGTCTGGTCTTGTACTCAGTAGTGGCGTAAGAAAATATCGGTACACTTGAGTATCTCAGTGTTTTGTGGTACGTTATTGATTCCCCAATATTTTCTATCAATTTTTATGAATAAGTTGCAATTTATGAAAGTGCATTATTTTGTGTTGTGTTTAAACCTGCAACACCGAAACACATGTTGCTAGCATAAACACAAAGAACACAGGCCTATGAGAACTGCAGAGTCATAAAAGATGCACCATTATAATTGACAGTTTTCCTGAAATTAGATTTTAAATCACCTTGCTGGTGGGGGAGCCCTCCTGTGTGGAGTTGGCATGTTCTCCCTGTGTCAGCGTGGGTTTTCCTTGGGTACTCCAGCTTCCTCCCACAGTCCAAAGACATGCAGGTTAATTGGTGACTCTAAATTGTCCGTAGGTGTGAATGTGAGTGTGAATGGTTGTCTGTCTCTATGTGTCAGCCCTGTGATAGTCTGGTGACCTGTCCAGGGTGAACCCTGCCTCTCGCCCAATGTCAGCTGGGATAAGCTCCAGGATAAGCGGTTACAAAAGATGAATGAATGAATGAATCACGACCTGATCTGTGGAGATCTGTATTTCGCTCCCATGTATGCTGACTGTGTAATATGGAAGTGACAAATACACCTGATTCAGATTCTGATATATTCTCAGTCATAATGTGGACACACTGTTATATTTCTTGTTTCATTTTAGGACATTATTCATTTCTGGCTGGGGAAGGGAGTGGACGGGTTTCGGATGGATGCAGTGAAGCATCTCCTGGAGGCCACACACTTGAGGGATGAACCACAGGTGGACCCAAACAAAGCACCGGTGAGAGTCACCTCACTCACTCAGTTCAGTTGGGCCACTGTCCCATTGTTTACTCTAATGGGCACCATTTTTGTCAGGCAGCAACATCTGTCTGCACAGACCTAGCAACTGTTTGTCCTTACATATGGAAACATCTGTCTGATCTGCTAGTTGAAATTGATCCATGTCAAACAATACTCAGAGGGTCTGCTCAGTCAGTAAGTTTTATCTGTTTACAGTTTGTTTACCTCCTGCCACGGCTCTAGTGTCCTCATAACCTTGCAGCTCTTCTTCCTCCGAGCTCAAAGTTCAGTTTCAGTTACCAATCTCTGGTGTAACATTGTTATGCAATTATATTATGATGATATTTTTTGGAATTACATAAAGCGTGACATGTCAGAGTCCAGATTTTAACGATCTGAGGGATAAAAGCGGCCCTGTGGGCAGAGGCAGCTCCACTGAAGCAGTACTTTCCACAGGAGCCGGTCGGACAAACATAATCAACAGCTGAGTGGGAGAGTCCGCAGTGTGCATGATGTATCATTCATCATTTATCTCCAGCTTAAATGGCAGGGTCATCTTGTGCTCCTCTGGGGAAAATACTCATACTGGAATTCAAAGGGTTCGTGATTCACGCAGAGTTAAGCTCACTGAGAAAGAGTTTTTGTTCCGTGGAGACTGAAGTTATTTCTCACTGAGGACAGATTAGTAGCAAAGAGGCATATTTTGGTGGATTAGCAAATCACTGGGATTTACTTACCACTGAAGAATAACTCTGTAATACTGAGACTGACTCGTCTACTTACTGCTGACTGAGAGGGAACCTCACAGCAGCACTGACCCACTGATAACCCACACCAAACTGGGCTTTGTAGTGGTGTTGAACAAGGGTCACTGTTGGGCACTCAGATTTTCATGCTTTTACAAAAAAACTTTAATCACGACATTTCAATAAAAAGTCAAAGCTGTGTGTTTAGTGGGATATTGAGAATTTTACAGCGGCCATGAATATGAGTCAGACAATCATACCTGAGCAGGTATCTGTGTTATTATTGCTTTAGTGGTTTAGCTTTAAACTGAGACAGTTTGTTCTTTACTGGCTGTTGGCTGAACACTTTGCTCATTTGACAGCACGTGAGCTGAGTGGTTAGCGCTGCTGCCTCTGTAATAAAGTCTGTGAATAGAGTCATGGGCTGGACCTTTCTGTGTGGGGTTTGTGGGTTGTCCCTGTGTTTGAGTTTCTCCCACACAAAAAGACATGCAGACTAGGTGTTAATTTTTAGGGGCATTATAGGGATTTCAGGGCTGAAGCAGGTCCCAGGCTGGTTCCCTTAAGTGTTGCGCACTGGTTTTTGTGGTGACATGGGTATAACTTAAAGGTCCAGTGTGTAGGATTTAGGAGGCAGATATGGAATATAACGAGTATGTTCTCTCAATTAATAATCATCTAAAAATAAGAATTGTTGTGTTTTTATTATCTCAGAATGAGCTGTTCACATCTACATAGGGAGCAGGTCCTCATCCACGGAGATCGCCATGTTGTGCTACCATGTTTCCACGGTAGCCCAGAACAGACAAACCGAACACACTTTTGGAGAGGAAAATTTGGCTCCCTGTAAAAACCTCCTGAACAATTAGCACTGAAGGAATTCTAACCCGGAAAAGGTTTCAGCTGGTTGCAGTCCTCCCAGCTAGATGCCACTAAACCCACCTAAATCTTACACACTGGACCTTTAACATGACTTCCTGTGTCCCCCCTGTGGCTCTTTTTACTGTCTTCTGTCCTCTTGTCCTTTCTATGAGCACCATTACAAACAGTATGTGTCAATAAAATGAGTGCAAACCTTGAACACTCCTCACACAGCACTCCTTCCTTATTGAGCCTCTCCCCTCTCTGTATCTGGTTTCTACTTATTGTCCAGCTGCCTGGTCTGTAACTCGACCCCGTGCTTTGGCCTGAGAAAGGGACACATTTACACCCAAGCTCTCCTAACTCTCAGTGGGTAAAGGAGAACACTGTTGGGCTCTCTTAACCCACTGTAGGTGATGCTCTCAGGGTGGAAGCTTTACTGTGAATGAACCACTAGTGTCCTAAACCAAATGTAAAACCTGACTGTAACACTTAGAAATCCAATAATAGCTACATTACCTCATTTTTCTTTATATTCCTAACACTCCAGGAGGATGTGACGTCAGAGTGGGACCTTCACCATGACTACACCACCAGTCAGCTGGGTTTGCATGACCTGCTGAGGGACTGGAGGGCAGTGATGGATGACTACAGCCATGAGCCTGGCAGATACAGGTATTGAAGGCCATTAGCAATTCACCAATGCTATTGTACAGATGGGAATGGTGATGCTCTTACTTACGAATGAATTGTAAAACTATCTTGTCTTGGCATGGCAGCACACCGGTAAGGTAAGACAACACATTTACATGTCATTTTCTATATGTTCTCTGACATTTATCCTAACGATATGAGGTGGTCTTTGTGGAAAAAAAGCTTGTTTAGTGGACTAACTTTGTACTTGAAGGTTGCCCGTTCACTTACGTTTTAACAGGTCTGATGCTACGGCTGTATTTAGGCTAACGGCTAACATGCTAACTATTATTTCTATGTCACTAGTCACTTGAAACAAATTTAGGACGATAGGAGACAGGTTGAAATAAACCGAAATTTCCCTTTAATTTGCGTCTACATATCACACATAAAATCAAATCTAGTTACCTGTTAACTTGCTCTACTCCAGGTTCATGGTGACGGAGTCTTATGATTACCACGAGGTGGACAAGACCATGATGTACTATGGCACCTCACTGGTTAAAGAAAGTGACTTCCCCTTTAACTTCTACCTGCTGGACCTGCCTCAGAACACCAGCGGCCTGTGGGCTAAAGATCTGGTCCACCTGTGGATGGCCAACATGCCCGAGGGACAATGGCCCAACTGGGTGGTGAGTCGCCAGTCAAATTGACATATTAGATTCTTGGCTCCTTTAAAAATGAGACCCTTGTACTTTTCTTTCACCTTTCTCCTCTCCTCCTCATCTGGTTAGTTAAGACCACAAAGTAACTGGAGCACACATAATACACAACATAATTGCTATCGATTACAGAGTAAAGAATCACATTTTGATGCTAAAAAACAAAGTTGCATGCTTCACTTGCCTTCATGGATCAGCTACCAGCCGTTTAGGATTTCCTTTGTCACCGCAAGGTGTTTCCAGTGTGAGCTACACTCCTCTGTGACAGTATAAGCCCATCTCAACCGCTCTCAGGCTTCTCTCTTTACCTCCATCTATCTTTCCCACCATATCCCTCACTTTAAAACATCAGCCTTTCTTCCATGACCCCAACCCACCCACTTCACCCTGCCGTCCTCCCTCCCAACTTATCTCACTAACCTCTCCACCTTCTCTTTTATTCCTCCACCGCTATCAGGTTGGGAGCCATAACAGGCCTCGGATTGCCTCTAGTGCTGGTCAGACCTACACTCGTGTCATCAACATGCTGCTGCTGACCCTCCCAGGCACAGCCACCACCTACTATGGCGAGGAGATCGGCATGGAGAACATAAACATCACAGACAGTCAGATACAGGACCCTGCCGGCAAATACAACTCGGTCAGTGCTGTGGGAAAAAAATACTCACTGTAACGTCTCTGCCAAATACAGACAAAATGTGTTTAGACTATACATAGTGAAATAAATGTCTTCAACTACACCACGAAATACAACCTGGAAATAGGCCACAAAGTACAGTCACCACCCTGTATAATAAAAGTGCAAAAATGATTGCTGTCCTTTCACTGCAGAGCGCCAGTCGAGACCCTCAGCGCTCTCCAATGCAGTGGACTGGTGACATGAACGCAGGCTTCAACAACAAAACCAACACCACCTGGCTGCCTGTACACCCCAACTACAGGAGCGTCAATGTGGAGGTAAAGAACTCTTTCTATACATTTCAGCTCTCGAGAAACATCTCTTATATGTTTATTTTAAAACATGTGTCCCCTTCTAGGTCCAGAAGAAAGACGAAGGTTCTGTTCTGGCTCAATACCGCTTCCTGAACACCCTGCGTCAGTCTGAGCTCCCTCTTCACCGTGGCTGGTTCTGCTACGTCCATGCTGACGCCAGCGTCTTCTCTTACCTCAGAGAGCTGGACGGGCTCGGCCGAGCTTTCCTCGTGGTGCTGAACTTTGGTAAAGAATCTGCTGTCACTGATCTCTCCTCCGTTTGGGAGTTACCGGATCAGCTGACGGTGCTGATGAGCACAAACCAAGTCAACGACGGCAAAGTGCTGCAAAAGTCTCGTATCCTGACAGAGGCAGGGGAGGGTTTGCTGATCCAGTACTCCACCCACACTTGGTTTAACCGCAACCACCGTGACCAGTGCTACGTCTCTGAGAAGGCCTGCTATCTGAGTGCCATAGACATACTTTATAAATGCTAATACAAGTAGACTGTGGCATTCAGTTATTCCAGTTTCACAGCAGCAATCAAATCGTTAAGAGTCTTCTTAAGTGTTTCCTCTGTAAGACGACTGATAATAAAAAGGATCACTGCAGATACATTAACTGTTGATGTTGTCCTCTCTTCTACTGGCACTGTTGTGTCATCCTACTTGTTGTGGCTGTCATGGTAGATGTTTGGGTCATTGCTTTTTTATTCCTGACTTCCTCCTGCTATCTCTTCCTCTTGCGTGGAGGCCGAGGACGGTCCAGGCCCAGCTCTGTGTACAGGAACGCTAGCGTTAGGGCTTCCTGCGTCAGGGAGAAAAGACAGAGGACACATTACTCATTTCTCAACTGACAAAACTAACATTAGCATTCACAATGTGAGGAAGGGATTGGGCTTAATTAATAATGCTAAACTCACTGAAAAAGAAAGATTAATCGGGTGCAGCTCAGATTCGGCAGATGGTGTGGTCACAAGTAATTTAAGTGCTAAATAGGATACAAAGTCCATTCACCTCCGTTGTATTTCAGTGTCTCAAAACCTTGGAGGATAAAATTGGAACTTCTATCCACAGGGCGAGATACCTCTATGGATAAGAGAAAATATTTTGTATGTGACTTGGGTAAACTGATTTTTTAACTTTTTAAGAGGTGTGTAAAAGAAACAGAAGATTGCAATCACACCCAAACTGTGCAGGTACAAATATTTCTAGCGTGTCTGCAGGTCCTTAAAAAGTCTTAAATTCAGTCTTAAATTTGATTTTGTGAGGTCTTTATTGCCACAACCATTTATCTTATTCCATTTATCCATCTAAATTTCTAAAGTTCAAATTATTCAAGCTCTTATGCATGAAAATCTACATTTCTGATGTTACATATCTCTAACCCTACCTCTGAACCTTATCCATTCTTTCTACTTAATACTTGTACTTACCTTTTGGCAAATTGTTGATTAACCTAACTCACTCTGCAAACTCAAACTATATTCCTACATTAAACACACCTTTGCACAGGACATTTATACTTACCTGCAATGCTTCAATAAGAAAAAAAAAACGATTTATCCAAAAATTGATCTTAAATGAGGTTAAAAATTACTTTTAACATTCTTAAAAAGGATTAAATTTAAGTGTCTGGTACCTGTGGACACTCTGATTTTGCAGTGGGGATTTAAAACTAATAGTCTTTACAATACTGTCATTTTTCAGCATGGATGTGCATTTTAAGTGGATTTAAGAGCAAAATTAGTAATTGAGAGAAAATGAATCTGACACAGCTGCTTGTGTCTGATTTACCTTATCTGTAGTTGCATTTGGAAGCACACATTTAAAAAGCATTACCTCCTCCAGCATCAGCTCAAAGTCTTCAGGTCCGAGGTGATTTGCTCCAGGTTGGATGTTCAGAACTACGTTTGGTGCTGTTTCACGTTCTAGAAGAAACAGGAAGAGAGAAGTCAAAGGCTGAGCGGGGAAGAAGATCTCTAACGTTTAAAACTAACTCTCAGGCATTTCTCTTATCTCACTGTATGCCCCCTTCTCCCTCTGTCCAGTTGCCCCAAATCTTCTCTCTCTCTCTCTCTCTCTCTCTCCTCTGACTCTGTCTTTACTCTCCTTTCATTCATTTGTGCTCCCATCTGATATTGCCCTCCCTCTTCTCAAACCCCACCATATTCCCCCCCCCTCCCTCCCCGTCTCTGTGGCACGGGCTGTTTCACAAGTGCGGTCTTGACCTTGACAGCTCCCAGTCTGTGGCGTCTAATCTCTTGCTCTGATACACTATCTCTTTACCATGCTAATGGGCCTGCCCACCCGCCTGCATGTGTCTATGCCATCAGCACGTTATCAAAGACTCCGGAGAACAGAGGGAGACAGATTAGGGAGAAGTATACACACATACACAGACACTTAAGCTGCCGGCTGTATGTGTGTATGAACAACAGAAAAGTGAGACAGGGGGGAAAGAGAGAGATAATGTGTGCATCTGAAACAAGAAGAGTGAGAGAGAGAGAGAGAGAGAGAGAGAGAGAGAGGGGTGTAAAGAGGAGTACCACCAATGTGGAGAAGGCAGATTATAAGTGAGAGGGAGAAAGAGCCTGTCAAGGGGGAAATGAGAGCAATTAGCTGACACACACACACACGCTATACTACAAGGTGACCTATGCTATAGTTTGGTCATGAACTTCAAACGCTGTTCTCAGTTTCCCCAGACAGACAGCCATACGTCTGCTGCAACGGACTGCACACTGACACTACTATTGGGAGCCGACCCTGAACTATTAAAACCTCTGATGATGCAGAAATTACACCTAAAACGATGTGGAAACAACACACACAGCACAGGCAACTGTACAGTAGCATGTATGGCTGCACACATAAGCATCCAAGTGATCAACAAGTGACAAAGCTGCTGTGACAGCATGCGTGCAACACACCTGACTTTGGCTTCGTGGTGAAGTGTGTATGAATGGCGTTGCTTAGCTGCTCGGCATATTTGAGGACACCTGCCAGAGGAACCCTGGCGTCATCGCTGTAGGCCGTCAGCAGAATTGATGGGTAGCACTGGCTCACACAGTCGCAAACGCACACACAAACAGAGATGGTTAACCCACAGTAGTTTACATTACAGTGCTTGGCTAAAGGTATTAATCATTAGGGCTGTAACAACACCAACATCTGGATCAGTATATCGATTCATCGATCGACAATCCATTATCATTGATGCAAATTAAAAAAATCTTGTCATCTGTATCGTCATCTATACGATACGCCATAATTTAGACGTTCCCATGGCACGTCTGTGTCACCATTTCTGTCCAAACACACGTCCCTTTGAAACATTCAAACGAGGATATTTACTGATATTGTCTCAAATGGATCACAGGCCCCTGAACTGAATCGAAATCGTATGGGGCAGATTTTGTGATGTCAGCAAACATCATATCGTCCAAGGAATCAATGTGATATCATATCGTGGTAAAACTTGTGATTTTCACTGCTATTTATCAATATTACTTGTCTTCTGTTCCCCCATAATCAACATTTATGAGGCTTTTCCTACATTTTCAGTACAGATTAGCACAGTGGCTCTCAACCTTTTTCGTGTCAAGCTCCCTTAAATTGATACCAATTAGGTCACAGACCCCCATTTGATAAGATTTCTCTTCAGAGACCTCCAATCTGAGGAGATTTTTTTGTTTGAGATACAATTAAGACCTGAATTGGATCATTTTCTACTACAGCTGAGGAGATAACTGTGATGATAGTGAAACCTATGTTTAGCATAGTCACTCTTACGATGCTTAATAACACCAAATGGCTTCTATAGTGAATTAAATAGTGAAAATAATAATTTTCTGGACGAAAATGCGGCCATTTAACTGTCTGGTTGCTACCAGAACAGGCCAATTTACATTGCAAACAAAAATCAAGTGTGAAACTACATGGCAGCACATGAATCAAATTGACTCTTATAGTAAAACCTTAAATCACAGTATTGATGCCTAAAAAAATCTTGTGCCAAAATGCATTTCTAAAGCCAGTGCACAACAAACTGCAGCTGCATCTTCTTCCTCTTCCTTTCCTCTCCATACCTGAGGGGTAATGTTGTGAAGGGGACAGTAGGAGGAGATGGTGAGTCTGTGTTCTGGGTTCCCGAGTGGGTCCCCCCATTCTTCCCTGTCCTCCAACGTCAGAGGCAGGCTGGGATTCTCCATAGTTCCCAACACATCCAGGAAAGGAGCCTGAGCACAGGAAAAGAGATGGCATTGGATGTGTTTGTGTGTGTGTAAACTGTGGTGTAGCAAGAAGGGAGACTGTCCTTCAGTACATATTTAACCCTCACATACTGGCAAGCACCTGCTCTGTTAAAGTGCCCTTGAGGAAGACACAGAGTTCCTTATATTCTTACACAGAATAACAGTAAAGCTACACACTCCAAGCACACAAACACACACATCTCCTGTGATTTCACATCTTACCTGCAGCGTGACAGCCCGCATCATGTGTGGGTGTGTGTTGCACAGGGCTCCTACTGGCACAGCCCCGGCACTGCAGGCTGTGAGGGCGGTGAGTAAAGGAGAGGAGACTCCCGAGGAGAAAAGGTGATGGAGGCAGGCTCTGAGGTCCTCCACTCCTCTCTGCTTCCCCTCCACTCGAGCTTGTCTTTGCCAGGACAGACCCTGCTCTCCTCCACCTCTAGAAGTTTGAATTTCAGACTTAGTTATCCCTAACAGACATTTTCCAGCAATTTCCTGCTGCACAACATCAGTACATGAACAATTATATAAAGCATCTGATCACCAAATACCCTGCCGAACCAGTCAGGTTAGTTTGTAGGTTGCTGGAGAGGTGAGACGTTACCTGATGTGGCAGTAGGCCAGAGCCCAGCCCTGCTCCAGCAGCAGCCTTTTCTCTGGACTGAAATCCATGTTGAGGTCTCTGCCGTAAGCTCCGTAGACATGGACCAGTAGTGGCGTCTGTTTCAAACCCTCCACAGCTGATGTATGGAACAGCGTCACTGGCACCGAGGTACCATCCTACAGAGGAGAGGCAGGATTATTAAATGATCTTCTTTGTGCCTGTATGCAGATGCATGAGTGTGCATATGTCTTATATGTCAAGTGTTCTCACTTGGCTGATGGCCTCTAAGTGTGTGGTGGTATAATTGCACTGTGTCTCTGGGGAGGACCCATCTTCGGTGCTGGATAAAAGTAGTCCATCCTCCAGGTATAGACATTGGGGCACTGGGAAGTGGACTGGAGATGAAATCAAGAACTCTAGCACACTGCACTGGTCTGCCATGCCTGGTTTCTTGGTTTGGATGGCACAGGCCCAGGAGGGGAGCTGTGGAGGGTAGAAATAAAAGAGTATAAGAGATTAATACATAAAAGCAAGATACGTATATGTGCAGATGTGACCAAGTGTGTATTTCAGGTGTTGTGTACAGCTGTATGTTTCTGTGTGAAATATGTACTGGCTCCTCTGGGACATTAAAGACCATCTATCTCAAACTACAAGGCAATTTATCGGAAAAACGAGACCATGAGGGAGCAAAATGGTGAAGATGCAAGTTACGTGACTAATAGTGGGCGTGCCAGCAAGGACAGAAGAAAGATATGCACAGACAGAAATAGTAATTCAGAGTTTTCGGTCACACTGACCTGCACAGTGTATGCCTCCTGTGGATGTGTCAGTGGGACCACGATCAGGACGAGTTCACTGGCCGGTGTTCTCGCAACCAACACACAGTGATCTCCAACCACGTCCATGTCTTTGATTGCAGTGCCAGGACCAGGGGTAAATACAGGCACCCAAGAGACCATGGAAGGCTCTGAGAGAGGAGCCTGCACCACCTAGTTTTCCATTTTGATTTTAAAATTAAAACATAAAATATTTATCAGCATGTTTTTCTCCTTGCAAATGTAATTCTCTGAGTTATCACAGCAGAATCATGCTCATAGAGATCAAGTACTTACACTCTTTCTGTAAAATGTATGCAACCCATAAACAGTGTGTATCTGTAGGTGTATATTGTACAAACTCTACCTGATACTCTTGTCCAGGCCCTGTATTAGCCAGTATAATCAGATACTGTCTCCAGTGCTCCACATGGTACAGAAGGTCCAGCTGGCGTGGCTGAACCAGTACAGGCTCTAAATGGGAGGTTGCTCTATCAATCAGCAGCACCTCTGAACTGCTCCTGCTGCTGCAGTTGATGCTCAGTATCTGTCGGTTTCTGGAAAGGGCAACCTCCACAAACACACTGGGGAGATGTCGGTGGATCAATTATAGATGATGCGGGAGCTGAAACTGCCAACATGTGACACTGCTTACACTTACTCAGGATGTGTTTCCTCATACACAGACGTGATCCTGCTGCCAGTGGAGGTCAGGTCCAGACGAAACACTCGGCTGCAGCGAAGGCCCTCCAGGGTCGTGTAAAACAGGACCTGGTCTGTTGCCCACTCTTCACCAAAGCAGACACGAACATAGACAAAAAATATCCTTTTAATTTCGCCAGGGTTTTATGGCCTCAAGTGCAAAGTATTTAAAACGTACCAAAGCTTAAGACTTTGTCCAGTGTGAGTACGACATGTGGAGGATCCAGATGAGGGAAAGTTTCAAGCCTCACAACCACACACCTGGATAGTTACAGGACAATCATTTATTTATTCATTCAGTAACTGTGACAGTTTTGGCGATGAAAGAAAGAAACACACTGCTGTCAAATGTTTTGTTTGTGTAATTCACCTCGGCTCCTCTCTGTGTGCAGCTTTAAGTGTGGCAGCGAGATGCTTCTCGTGTGGGGACAGACGTATTCTCTGGACAGTCCACTGAAACCTCAGCTTCCTCTCTTCATTATCAAGTCCTGTCCTCTCTTCCTGTTGAGAGACTTGTCCCAGATTTAGCACCTGCTCTGGCTCTGGCTCACCTACAAACGGTGAGAAAAACTGAGCCATTCACAAAAGTGGGAAGGACATTATTTCTAATAAAGACCCAGATGTGGGAATTGGGTAAAAAAGAAAAATGTGCTGCAATATATTTTCTCCTGTTTGTCTCCTGTCCTTGTTTGACCGTTTCTCTCGTAAATGTCAATGAACTCAGTGACATCACAGATCTCAGTTTCCAAGTTTCAAGCTTTAAAAGCTGTTAACAGTCGAGCTACATTCATGTTTTCAGCTTACTCTGTCTCTGGTCCATTCTGTAGATGCCATCACCTTCAATGAAATACACATGGTGACGTCCACACACCTGTAGAAAGAGAGATAACAGTGAATTGTAAAATATTATTTTGAATTTCACAAATGCCTAAAGTTAGTTGCATGAATTTAAACCCATATCAGAAGACAGGCCTTACCACTGAGTAATCAGGCGTGTTGGAGAATCTGCGGTACGTTGCCTTCAGTCGTCTTTTGAAATATTTCTGCAAGTCCTTGTAGCGTTCAAGTCCAGAGCTGAGATGATCAGCTGATGAGTTTTGAGTGTCCTGAAATCAAACAACTTTATAATTCATGGAAATACTTTCAATTCAATTCAATAAGCTTTACTGGCATTATATTTCTTATGTGTTGCCAAAGCAGAATTATGACTTAAGACAGAGAAAATCAAAAAAATAATCGACAATATATTATCACAAAATCATAGACATAAACAGAGTGTGATCTGTGATGAGATGAACTATTATGTTAAATGTTGGTTGTCTCTCAGGCTGTGACATGCACTGACATCTCGCTGCATCTTTGGTGCAGACACTATTTCCTCCAAGCAGATGTTGCATTTTAGTCTGAGGACGGAGCTGACACAGCCCGTCTTCTATCTCCAGGTCTGCCAGTCTCTTTGTCCCGGCTGTGATCACTGAATCTGTACACTGTCAGTATCTTTCTCAGTTTCTGATCCATCACTGCAGTCAGATAGTTTGCCATCACGTACTGTCTGTTTAGGGCCAAATAGCATTAAAGTTTGCTTTTTTGTGGTAGATGTCCAATAGTTGATGTAGTTTTCTTTTTCATAGGCAATAATCTGTGACTGGAACCGTCTTCTTCTTTTTTCGTCTGTTCCCTTTAGGGGTTGCCACAGCGAATCATCTGCCTCCATGTAAGCCTATCCTCTGCATCCTCTTCTCTCACACCAACTGACTTCATGTCCTCTTTCACTACATCCATAAATCTCCTCTTTGGTCTTCCTCTAGGCCTCTCGCCTGGCAGTCCCCACCTCAGCATCCTTCTACCGACACTATGACTGAAACCGTGAGCTTGGTAATTGCAAAGGCCATTGCTGTTAAAATCAGTATTCTTGTAGCCTGTGCAAGAGTCACTGGGACAACACAGATAGATAGATAGATAGATAGATAGATAGATAGATAGACAGATAGGTAACTTTATTGTCTCAGCGGAAATTTGTCTTTGGCTTCTCTCAAAAATCAGAGGTACAGATGTCTCAGTGAAGATTCTCAGTCATCCAGGTTGTGGTAATCATAAGTGCTACTGTATATTGTTTTCTTGAAGACATTTCGCCTCTCATCTAAGAAGCTTCTTCAGCTTTAGTGGCGTGACACTAATTTGAACTGAAGAAGCTTCTTGGATGAAAGGTGAAAGGTCTTCAAGAAACGCAAGTCCAGTTGCCTACGCTAGTGGTTTCTTAAAGTGTAAGCTCATACAGTTTAATATGGGAGTAAGTGATAGGAGGCCTGTTTGTGTTAAACATGTTATTGTAAGATAACCAGAGTACTTAAATTCACCACAATGACTGCAAGAGTCCTAAATTGTTCCCTGATGACATTAGGTTTGGAGAAGAGGATTGGAAAAGTGATTATTTAGTAGGGTGGTGTCATGACATACTTTCAATTCAACAAACTGCCTTGATAATTTGCTCTTTTCAAATTATTCATAGGCTTTATTTGTATCTTTGGAAATGATTATTGTAAAAAGATGAAGACTCTGAATTAATTATCCTGTCCAGGAGCCTTTGTGTCCATTTCCTGTGGCTAATTTCCGTGTCAGTGCGGTGAGCCACATCCAAACAGGCTCAGTTTCAGCCCTCTGCCCTTATCTGCGGCTCCGTTTTGTCAGCCTGGTGAAAGACACCAGTTTTGAATAATGGATGACTTGACGTTACCGACGAGATAGCTTTAACAGTCGGTAACCTCACACCGAGCCTGAGGTGAGTAAAAACAGCATCTTTACCGTTAACTGAACACCCTTACCGACGTGTAACAGCGGTGGACGGACAGGGAGAGCAATGTTATCCGTTTGCACACGGCAAGCTCCCAAACTCGTAACCGAGCTGGTGTAAGGAGACGAGCAGATGAAGACAGCAGAGAGGAGAGGACGGCCATTACGGAGATTAATCAGCTAAATTAACACGCGACAGCAGCGATAACGTGGATTTAAGTAGCTAACTGCCACTGCCTCGTGAGTTAATATCGGTCAACACGACAATAAACGCTGTATTTAAAGCTGAAATATTCATAATGTCATTAATTAAATCAAGCATCCTTCCGTTGACAGCAGCACGTGCATTATTTCCTAAACAAAGCCCGCTGTTGATGACGTAGCTTGGATGCCAGACTAGAATAATCGACTTCCGACACACGCGGCTCGCAGTGTGTAACTGACAATAGGGCATGATTGTCTCGATAATCCATTGCTATGCCTTGAATGCCAAAAGTGTACGGAAGTAGCATGTACCCATTGTGGGTGTAACAGGTGATCACAATCAAGCATATCTGCGAGTATAGCTGCGTTGGTGGAGTTTACAGAAAAAATAAAGCCTTATTTTTGTATATCCACGTTTCTACCGGTAACTGTGACAGCCCTACAGCTATTTAACTTGTTTACAGATCGATTTGCGCCCACATCTTCGAGGATAAAATGGAGAAGCACTCAACCGGTGGAGGAGACAAGACCGAGCCGGCTTCGCCTTTGAGGAAAACTAGTCATCAAGACACCTGCGCAGCTAACTCCCACAGCTCCCGGGAGGACACCTGTGCTACTACTGATGTCGCCAGGGCCAGGTGGACTCTGCTGAGACAGGTATTTATGTCCTCAGAAGAAAGCACAAACCTCCTGTGGTTGTAGACTATTTTTACGAGCGTATTTATCAAAATATGTCGAGTGTTTAATTTAAAATGCGTGTTGCAGTTTGTACATTTGTTAGAATATGTGTCTCTCATAACTGTGGAGTAATACGGTTAACGGGGGCATATTGTAGCAGCCCTGCCATGTTTCCTCCCTAATGTTGGCCACAAAGCTATTGTTTACTAAACTTTGAGATACATTTGCACTATGGAAATCACACATTATATATTCCTAGGTAAAGCTTTATAAAAATGGAGGGATATGGTTTATGTGATATACCTATTGGAGCCTGGTACACCAGTCTTGGCTCATCAGTACTCTGTTCTGCTTTCACATGCAGCTTAACTTGAACATTTACTTTCTGTAATTGTATCAACGAATAGCTTTATAACAGTATATTCCAGATATTTGTCACCAGTAAGAATGTGTTTTTCTCCTCCGGCTGCACAATCTGATTAGCTTTGCAAGTATTAAAGCTGTGAACACACAGGAGCAGCAGCTGTGAAAGTGAGGCTTTTACTTCTCCCATAGATGGGCATGATACAGAGGTTACACTCAGCTCCCTGCAGTGGGACCATCCTGCAGTCTGCATTTCTGCCTCCTGGTGCAGTAATGACCTCTGTGTATGGGCTCCACCAGAATAGACAGATACTGTAGATAGAAGTTATGTCATGTTATGGGTTCTGTTTTTACCATTTAAGGATGAAAAGATGCAAATTCATTCTATACATTAATTGCGTCTAATCGTTCAGGGCAGTTTTTACTCTGTTTACAACCACACTGACTTAAAGTACTTAACTTTGGGAAAATTCAACTCAACTCAGGAAAACATGACGTTGTTATTGAAATTTTGTTTCCCAAAGGACCTATGAAACATGACTGATTCATTCTGCAAATGCTGACACTTAACAACAGGGATACTTGGGCCAAATCTGGCCCCTGCTAGGGTGCTGGGTGGCCCCCTAACCATTTTTCTTGTTAATAAACCAAAAAAAGAAAATTCACACTGGGATTTTTTTTTTGTTTTTTTGATATATGTTGCCATTAAAAGCATGAAAATAGAGCTTGTTCATCAAATCAAGTGCCGTGGGAGGATCCCCCAGACCCCAAAAAGAGGCCCAGGCTAAGCCCAGAATGTCCTCATATCCTATAGAAACACCTCTGCATACCCCTGACCTTTGCAGGACTGCTGTGTCTGGCATCTGGCCTTATGTCATTTTGCAAAATTTTCCCCCAGGCCAATGCTTTACAGCTTATGTGATTTACCCGTTAAGGAATGTGCTCTTATGTGGAAATCCATGACCTCTCCTTTATTTCCACCCCTATCTCTCACAGGTGTTGCGTCAGAAGCAGATGGATGCTCCAGAGGTCAAACAGGTGTCTGTTCGCAGGTTCGCAACGTTTGACCTTTTCAGCAGGAAAAGGCATCTGACACAAGACCCCAGTGATACCTCTGATGACCAGTGGGTGGAGTACAGAAGTGTCTACTTTCCTGAGTACAGTGCCTTTCTCAGGTATACAAACATGGAAGGCAAATAAGGCTCAAGTTTCATCCTGGCACAGTTAAAGCACAGTGACAGTGCACCACACAAGAGGCTGTCTCACTCATGATTCCACACCACGTCAGACTAGTTGGGTAAAAGTCAGTGTTGAAAAAGTTTATTGATATAACATTTTATCATTTTTATTTTCAAAATTCAGACATGTTATTCCTATGGCTTTAGACAGTCCAAAGATATTAGCAAACCTGTAAAACACTCTCTTGTATAAAAAAGCTGAAATGCCCAAACTCAAATTTTTAAAGTTTGGAGCTGTTCCATGGACAATGAATGGGGAAAGATGTTGTAGATGACACTGTGAGCACCCAGGGGGATGCTCTGAGTATATGGGCACATTTGGTGTTTCAGAGCTGATGACATTATAATAGGATAAAGCTCATTTGGGCATAAAATAGAGAACAAACATACTGTGGGTCCACAAAATCGGTCTCCCATTCATCGTCTATGGAGCAGCTCCAGACTTTATAACCTATGACATCACAAGTTTGAGACTTCTCTGGTTTCTGGGTCTTAGAGAGAGCAGCTCATGTTCACAAAATGTGATTCAACTTTCCTAGACCATAAAAATAACACCTTGAAATTTCTAGTGTGAAAAAAAGCATGAGTCATGACATCACCTAAAACTATCTAGAGTCTATGGTTTGCTGTGAATCTAGAACAAATCGTGCACATCATGTCATTAGTGCATGTCCATTAAAACTGGTTGATATATAGTTATTGAAATGATGTTGAATTAATGGTTATGTGTCTTTGATGTCTAAAAAGTGTTATTTTTTCAGGGACAGTTGCCACAAAAGTATTTAAGAAGCCATAAAAAAACGTGCTTTTAACTTGAAACCAAAGATAGTTATTGATTTGCAGAGATTTATTTTAATAGATGTTTAAATGTAACAAATGTTTTATGAGCCAAACACTTCATATAACTATGTAAATAAATCCTTGCTCAGGTTTTGATACTTTTTCCTTGAAACAATGCCGTTAGTTTAAAATAGTAATTAGGATTCTCTGTCTTGTGTCACCGTGTAAGAAAAAAAACATTATTTTATTCACCCAGACTGCTGTGTAATGCTCCATATGTTTGTGTCACTCAGGGATGACCTGGGGCCTATCAGAGTTAATGAAGTGCTCAACAGTTTCGACAACACCGGTAATGTCTGTAAGTACACACTTTATCTTTACTACTTGGAGGCATTGTATTTGTAATGTGTTTGTATATGTGTATGTTCATACATACAATGTGAATATGTTCACAGAGTGTAGTTTTACCTGTGCTACTCCCTGGCTTTTATCCCATCCCACACACACACACACACACTACAGCATCTTTGGGTCAGCGACATGCTGTGTGCTGCTAGTGTTTGATTGATGGTTTGATGCTGATGGTTTGATTCCATCTCTGTGAATGGGAGTACGTCTCTTGTGTGGCTTCTACAGGAATTTATCATGTACTCATTCCTCCCAACTACCTTCAAATGTCCTTCAGAGGGAAAGTGGGCTGCAGTCTTCTTATTGCTTCAGTCGACAGTGATGAGTGGTTTGGGAGAAAGGAAAGAGCATGACTCAAACAGGGGTTTGCACATGCTCTATGATATGGAGTGGAATAGCATCACCTGAAACACAAGAGCCTTGATTTGACCTTCAGTCTGTCAAGTTGCTTTGAGACATTTATTTCAGCTGAGTTTACTTCAGTTTGAGTTTAGTTCAGTTTTACTCTGCTTATGTCTTTAAATAATGTCAGTGCTGTCAGAGATGTTTCAACCAGACATGCAGGAGTGCAGTTTACATGAGTGGATGCACACACAGTGATTTGTGGATTAATCCAGCCAAGAGGGATTCTCATTGAGATTACAGACAATTACACTGTGTATTTCTTGCATCACTGATATATTTTGGTTAATTTTTGACTTGTATACGATGCAGCACAACTTTATTGTCCAACTTAGGGGGAATTTTTGTTTGACTACACCTCAGCAGTTTTAAATACTGTGACATTACGACAAGAATAATTAAAAACAACAACAACAGTTGTTAACAAGTGTTAAAGGTCCAGTGTGTAGGCTTTAGGGGGATTCAGCAACATCTAGTGGTGAGGATTGCACATTGCAACCAGAGTGAAACTTCTCCTAGTGAGAATTCCTTCAGTGTTTATTATTTTTACTGTGAGCAGAATTATCCGCAGAGGTCTCTTCCTCTCCAAAACAAAGGGAACAGGTGATTAAAAATGGCTAAAAACACTGAATAAAGCAGTGTCACATTACAAATCAGTGTTTCTCCTAAACTGCTAGCTCAGCACCTGCTAATGTGTGCTCATCTTTTTTCTGATCCAGATGATAATGAGGTTTTTATGTGAGCTGAATTACCTGCAGAGGTCTCTTCCTCTTCAAAACAAATGGCATCAGTGATTTAAACCATTAGTAAACACTGAATACAACACTTTCATGTTAAACATCAGTGTTTCTCCGAAACTGTTTGGCATGTCAGAGACAGGCCGCTAGCCTATCATTAGCTAATGTTTGCTCAGCTTTTTTCTTTGATAATTTAAAATCCAGACTTTTTTACTGCAGAGGTCTCTTCCTCTCCAGAACACTGGACCCAGTGATTTAAACCTTTAAAAACAATGAATAAAGCGGTTTCACTTAAACAAAAATCAGTGTTTTTCTGACTCTCATCATGGAGTTGGCTGATGCAAAGACACAAATGACCCTATTTAGAGCCAGTGTTTGGCTTGTCTGTTCTGGGCTACTGTAGAAACATGGTGGTGCAACATGGCAGTCTCTTGAGGATCCGTCCCTATGTAGATATGAATGACTCATTCTAAGGTTACGAAAACACAACAGTTTTATTTTTAGGAAATTCTACACTAAAACAAAACATCCTTATATTTTATTCAGTTTCCCCCTAAATCCCACACACTGGACCTTTAATACAATGATGAAACAGACCTGCTCCATTGATAGTACACTGAGATGTGACCCCTTTCAAGTCATTATGTACCTCTTCCTGTGCAGGTCCACCTTCACAGGCAGGGGGCGGGTTATGACAAAGGTCATGGGTTAGTGTTAACCAGCCAGATGGCTCCAAATCAGTCAGGGTCAGAGGTGAAGGTCATTGCTAGGGGCTACTTCACTGCACACTGGGATCAGACCATATAAGTCATGACAGAGCTCAGAGCTGCTTCATTCCAACCTGCTACAATGGATAATCCCTTTTCTCTACAAGGGGACAATAGGATCAATACTTTTTTCTTTGTAGAGGTCATCATGTTTTTGCCTTGTGGCACTCCAGCAGCTTTACTTGTGCTCTTTGTTTGTGCATTCCCTCTGTTCTTCTTTCTCTTCCTCCTGTCGTATCTGTAAAGTTGTAACAGGTCTAAATATCTTCCCCCTTGTTCCTCCTCCCTCACACCAGACATCCACACACTGCTCCCAGTGTACCCCCTCACTCCTCCCTCTCAATCTACCCATTTCTCCTCTTTCTTCCTCCCCCCTCCATCCCTCTCTCCTCTCTGTTGGAGTCGTGCTTGGCCAGATGGGTAACTGAGTTCCTGACTTGGCCAGTGGATTAGCACAGCCGGAGATGAGAGCATAGAGGTGGGGAGAGGGGGAAAAGGGGGCGAAGGGGAGATGGTGGGTGGGCATGCCAGAGGTGGTGTGTGTGCGTGTGTGGATATATGTGTGTGTAAGGAGTGGAGAGCCACTAGCAACGGGACCTCGTTCCTCAAACAATGAGCCAGCCATCTCCCTCCTGTTCTCCATCCCATGTTTGGGACTAGTAATGCGTGAGATCAATTAGGATTGGTTGAGAGGAGGCTCTGAAAGGCCCAGAGGTGACCCTGTCAGAGCTCTGGGGTATATTTTTGGGGATGGGAGAGAAACCCCTCTAAATACACACACACACACACACACACACACACACACGTATGTATATGTATGTATGTGTACTCCTCACAAAGATATACACCCGTGCATTTACGCTTGCAAAAATCCACACAGTCCTGCTAATGAACACATTTTCACTTGGCCCACTGTCACACCCTCTCCACCTTTCCTGCTATCTTGATAATCCCCCACCCCTGAGGTGTGGACAAGCCCAAATCCTAGGGGTCCTTGTCCTCCTGAATAGCAGGCTAAAAAGCCTGGCCGGATTAGCCCACTGCCTCCAAAATGTGTGGACTCAGCTTAAAATTGCTACCCCCTCTCAGCATGAGCCCCTCTCCCGGCCATTGTGTTTGTCCCACCACTGTGCACGTATGTGAACAATATGTTGTTTCTTAAGGTGACGATAAGCTGGAGTCAATGGTTTCATTTCAGGAGCAGAGGAGCAGGCAAAGAGGCTCAATGAAGATGTTTTAGGAAATGGAGTGTATTTTTAGAGATGACATCATGCTGTATCAATAGAAGAAGACTGAAACTATATACCATTACAAGTAATTAGGATATTAGGGCACTTCTGCACAGAGCTCATAAAAGATTCAATCCTGATTTAAACCTTTTATATGGGTTGGTGTTTAATGGTGTGTTGGTGTAATCTGCAGCTGTTGTTTGTATGTTTATATTTATATCTGTCTGTACTGTGACACAGGGCACTTGGATGAAGACAGTTAATTGGGCACAGTTGAGTAGGGATAAAAGTAAAACAGTAAAACTGACTGAACCAAACAAAGGCTGTAATGACTTTGCTAATAAATTATACTCGGTCTAATCAGGTAGGATTGTGTTTTGTTTTACTTCCTTAGGTCTCAGGTCTGTGTCAGTATGTCTCAATATCAACTAGGACTAGGTAGTAATCAATATTATATCGATATTGTGATATGAGGCTGGATATCAGCTCAGATTTTGGATATTGTTTTGTTGTAAATGTTGTCTTTTCCTGGTTTTAAAGGCTGCATTACTGTAAAGTGATGTACATTTCTGAAGCTATCAGACTGCACTAGCTGTTGTAGTATTTGTCTTTATACACTTAGTTATTTTATTTACATTACTGATGATTATTATTGTGGAAATATTTTGTGAAAACACCAATCGTCAACTGCACAATTAGGGCTCAAATCAATATCACCGTATTATTTTGGGGGGGGATGCGGTGATGGTATGATATCGCGGTATCGTCTTCTCTCTCTTTTTTTACACTTTAAATAAAACGATTTAAAAAGCCATACAAGTCTACGATGGAAACTATTTATCGTCAGAAGTAAAACGGCTGCTAATCCATCTATTATTGTGTATAAAATGTTATATAGTATGTATAAATGTTAGAGGGAAGAGGGAGGGCCGGTGGCTCCCGGGCCCCCTTCTCCTGCGGGCCTGGGTTTGGGGTGGTCGGCCAGGCCAACTCCATCACGTAGCGAGGGAGGTGCGTGAGGCAGGCAGGCTGGCCGCCGGGCCCCGTTCTGCCGCCTAGCCGCATGTACTGCGGTATGACGGTAACCACAAAAGCAGTACAGCGGCTCATGTTTACTGCGGTAAGTTACCGTCACTGCGAATACTGCTCAGCCCTACTCACAATCTTGTCACAATATCAAGGTATGTAGTAAAAATCGTGATATTTGATTTTAATCCATATTACCCGACCTTAATATTGACTCTGATTGCATCAGTTTTAGTAAATCAGTAGTCTATGTAGAAAATATATGCTATTGAGTGAAACATTTTTGGGGACTTTGATTCACAGATATTGAATTGTTTTGAAAACATTGTCATTCTGTCTATTGCCTCGTTGGCTACAGAATGTTTGGTTTCCTGCAGGAACTTAAAATGACCTTCAGTTTTATCTATAGATGAGTCTGTAAAGCATTCAAACAAGTTATTTTTTGGAGTTAGTTGCCATAACTTTCCATTTTGTCTTTGGACATTATTATTATTGTTTATTGATTGTGATGCTGCTCCTGGTGTCAGTGTTGTCTCTGTGTTAAAGTCTGTCTGACCCCATTTTGGCTCTAATCATCCTCTGGTCCATTTGTTCAGGTCTGACTGTGCTTTGGTCCCCTTTGGATCTGGTCTCTTTAAAAAAAAAAAGTATTCATGTTGGGTTGTTTGTGTTATCTACGGGAGTGTTTATGGATTGGGTCCAACATTTTGGACCGTGAAGACCTCTACCTAGTGGTACTCAGGTGTTTTATAGATGCATCAGACAGATGACTTTGGTGATATAGATACT